AAAAAAAAAATTTTGAATTTACTTACTTGTAGCCGGAGTTAGAGGCGGTCGGATACTTATGACCGCTACTGTATAAACTATTTTCGCAAAATACAAGTGAATGGTATTTATGTAGTCTCTATTAATTCTGAGATTAGAATACTATTTACATAGTACTTTTCAACAAAAGGTGTAAATAAGATTGATGAATATGATATTAGATGTATTGTTTGTCTTTATACCTATATGAATAAATTAATATTACAAAAAAGTAAGTTTAATAGGTCAACTTCCACACACAAAAAAATAAGGCTAAAAGGCTTAATAAAGTAGTAACATGTAAAAAGCAAAAAATTTTTATTTGCAAAATAAAATATATAGAAAAGCAGTTTCATTTTTCACTCATAAATTTGATGTTATCATCATTTCATCTTTTAAAGTATCAAATATGATAAATAGAAAAATAAGAAAAATTATACGAAAAATAGTTCAGCAAATGCTTAGTTGAATATATTATCAATTTTACCATCTAGTAGCCAAAGCAGAAGAATTGAAAGTTTATATCATTATTTAAAATGAAGCTTATACCTCTAAAACTTATAATTAGTGTAAAAAAATTCAAAAAATTAGAAGGTCTGAGATGTATAATTGTCGAATTATAAAACTATAATAAATCAAGATGAAAATGGCATTTAGAAAATCTTTCTTCAGGCTTTTCTTGATGAAGCCTTAATTCTCTTTAAAGATCATATAGAAAATAGTAGTTTTACTTAGCAATACTTAGTGTTATCTATTATTAATATATTAAAACTATCTGAACTACAATTAGTGATAATAAAATAAAAGTTTATTCATTTCAAAAAGATTGATACAAAAGTCAAACAATTCACAAATTATTTCTAAATTTAATATGATCAAAAATTATATGAAGATTAAACAGAAAGTTAATTCTACTTAAAAAACTAATATTAAATGTATTAATACCTATTTAAGATTCTTAATTAGAATGAATTTGAATTCAGGATTTAATTATTATGTAAAACAAAAGATTCAAAAATTATTTATATTTGCAGAAAATTATTTTAATAATTATAACATATTTGTATCAGTTCTTAGTAACAAAAGAGCTAATAATTAAATTATTTTATACAAGACTTATAATAGGATAAAAAGCATTTTAATATATCATAATAGAGATTTAAAATACTTTATTAATAATAAAACAAATAAAATTAAATTATTATCTTATATTTCTTTCACAAAATAACTTGAACAATTACAAGGTATGATGTTTTTACATAATGAAACTTTAAATAAACTTTTAGAAATTTATAAAAATTTAGTTAAAATAAATCTAGTAATAGAAATCATAGTCTATGTGAAAGGCTTGAATTTGATAGTATATCTGATGATACTCTATTCACATATTTTACATTTTTTAACAAATTTTGCATGAATTTTATTGTGAGGATAATTTCAAAAGAAGGTTCGCTTCCTGCTGCAAATTCTGATTGGATACTTAATGTCTTGACAAAATTAAAGATATCAGTTTCATTCTTTAACTTATTCAAATTAGAACAAATTATTCAAATGCAATATCAAAAGTCCTTTCAACTTTTAATTGAGAACAATAAAATCTTAAATTTTCAGTCAATCAAAGACACATTGAATGATAAAGTAAACTCCATGATAAAATATTGGAGTAAACATTTTAATCAACAATCTGTTCAACAAATGTATTAAAATTTGTTAAATGTAAATTGCTTGAATTTTTATATATTGAGGGAAATTTAAAAACATAATGGAATTATTTAAATGATAGTATGAACATATTTTTAAACGAAGATGAATATAATGATTATAATAATTTTCATGTAATAGCTCATAAAATCATTGATGAGTATAGTAAGAATTATAAGGAGTAAATTGGTCTGATAGCAAAACAAAATGCTTTGTTAATTACAAGATAATAAGACTGAAATCGTAATAACTAGAACTGAAAAATTTAACCATGGATCTGAGAAAATTAATAAAAATCATGGATCAGAGGAAATTATTAAATATCTTGGATCCGAGGAAATTAATGAAAACTATAGATCAGAGAAAATTAATGAAAAAAATTTTGGGGTCGAATATATAAATGAAAACCATGGATCTGAGTTAGTTAATGAAAAAAATCTTGGCATCGAGAAAATTAATGAAAATCATGAATCCGAGAGTATCAAGGAATAGATATAATATTGCGGATTGTATTAAACAAATAAAGTCTTTTTGACATCATTGATCTCATAGGTCCACCTTTGAGAACTAGGTAATTCTCAACTAAATTTTTATTAGTAACCAGTTAAAAATATGCGGTCTATCATCATTATTATGTTTATAAGAATCAATGGAAATATCCTTGACCAAACGCATTGTAATGAATATTCACAAGTCAGAAGCCTAACATAGAAAATTTTCACGCAGAATGTTTTATCTGATTAATTCGGTTGTATTTATTTCAGCAATCCATTCTCATGGAATGCCCCTTACTCATCAAAAAAAAGTCTCATCTTTCCAGCAAATGAGGTCTTCTCCATACTTTATAATAAGCATGTCGTCATACCAAAGCAATCTTTTACAAATCATAATATTGTTACAATTAATATGGTTTCGCCCGAAGAAACATCTAATAAACTGCCTTCGCTAAATCTGGTTAGTCTTTGTAGATCAATTTCGAACATAATGTTAACATCATGCCAATGCTGGGATTTGAGGTAGTAATTAATATAATTTCACACATCGTCTTCCTTTATATTGCATATTATACACCTTAAATACTTTCCTTGCCTTTGTTTGATATTTCACCTTTATAATTTTTCATATAACGTTGTAACTTCGTTAACTTCGTTATTTTCGTTATTTTTATTATTTTATTTTCCGATTTATTAGATTTTTCTTAGTTTTAATTAATTAGCATTTATTGATTAGCGTTTAATTGAGTTAATAAAATTGAATTGCGAACTGTATAAATACCGTCTATTTTATTAATAATTACAGTAGCAATACCGCGATAGAACCTCGATGCTTTGGGAAATCTGTTAGAAATAGATTGTATACATTACATTGTTTATTTAAAATGTATAAAGTAACAAAATTTCGGCGGCGATCTGTGATCAAGAATTCCAAAAAAAAATATTACGTTTATTAAAAACAACGCTTAAAGATATTTATCTGTATCAGACAAATTTTATCAAGCATTTATACAATCGAATTGTTAAACGCAAAAAATGATTATAATACAATGTGTGTCTTTTATTAACGTCAATGTAATAGAATAATTTTGCTAACAGAAAATTCAAGCTAAAAAGTCTCTCATTTCTTTTTTTTTTTAGATCTATCGGGAGTTGGTGGATTTTGCGTTACTGCATGCACCTTCCGTTTAGCAAATAATTTCTGTTTTGGATCAACAAGTAATTTGCGTTTTTCTGTATTTCCTTTCACGAAGGACTAAATGTAAATTATTATGAGTAAAGAATTGGTAAGAAATTATGCAACCTTTTCTATACTCACAAAAAATTTCAAACAAATCACAATTGCTTCGGATAATACAGGAAGATCTTCCCAAAGAAGAGGAATCCTAAAGCTCCCGAATTCACGTATACTATATGTTTTTTGATGTATCGTAAGCCAAAATAACGATACAGCTGCGCAATAACCCAAAGCACCAAAGCTTGCAAGATCTTTGGTATCACATGTTCAATCATTAAGTCGAAAAATTATTCGTTGATTTAGTATATCCCGCATAGTTCTGATCAGCTTATAGTCGTGAAGGTAAAATTCAGTATGATCATCGTAGTCTGGGGGACCGATTTGCTCATATATAAAGATTTCCTCATGGCTTAACCAAAGGCGAGCTAGACCATCAGCACGTTTTGCTGACAAAACTTTATCAATAATTGGGTTAAGGTTGGTATTACGTCGATACTTACTGCTTTCTATCGGAACTTCGAGACTAATGTCACAATATTAATTAATATCTGCAAATGAATATTTTCTCGGAAAAGATAATTGGATTAACTTACATTCGCCAGTCGACGTTACAGATAGCATCAAGAGTGTTATTCAGTATTGGATTTATAAACTGAGCAATATACTGATTTTCTTCGAGGTCTCCTGACTTTAGTATATTATATGGTGCCTTGAATGCTTTAATACTAAAAAAATGTTAATCAAAAACATTATTACATAATAAATCTAGGAGTTTCAGGGACCTTAAAGGTTTAACATACTATGGTGAAAGAATATTATATATCGTATCCTTTATCACAAGGACTTCATTGCCTTTATTTTCACCAGAAATTACACGAAGCTCACTCCAGACTTTCATCCATTCTAATAAAGAATTTTTTGGCTGTTCCACAAATGAATAACAAAGATTAATCAAAACGAAAGCAATCAACTTTTTTCATATTTTGCAACATACCTTGAAAACATCTTTTATTAGTTCTTCCCATTCTTTAGGTAAATTGTATTCAGGATATGTATTCGATATAAAATTTTCCCAGATTGTTTCAGGGATTTTTTCCGTAAAATTTGAGGTCCATTATATCATTGTGACATAAGCTAAAAAAATGTGATAGTATGAATAAGACTATCTCATATCAATCAGAAAAGCAGACTCTACTCACTCAAAAGTGTTTTCATACTCATTACAGTAATCTTCAAAAATTTTCTCCAAATCGACATCGCTTACAATCAGTGCTGTTCTTTCTACTTTCCCAACCATCGATTCTGTCACTTCCCTCAAATCTGGGTTAATTCAAAATATATGTTAGCCATGTAGAATGTGTACACAAACAATTTATTTCAACATACTATTAGATATAGCGTCGTTTTCATCTTGGTGTCCATCTAGATTTTCCTCATTTTGTTTTATATCTTCCTTGATAGGCAATGTATAAGATACGGTGGAATCTTCATTCTGTTATCAACAAGGTAAGAAAAAAATGAGAAAAAATTTCATGGTCAAATGACATTTATTATTTCATACTGACTTTTTTTGTACTTTCGGGAATTTTAACATTGTTTACACGCTTTTTTGGGTTTGTCTATAAATAATATATAAGATAAATAATTCCATGAATACAACAATATGCGTTCATACCAGTCTAGTATTGATGCTCTCAGTGGAATGAGCATTTTCAATGGCAGTATCGACAACTTTTATGGTTTCATGCATTATTGATCTAAAAGCTTCTTCCTGCAGTCATGAAAAAAAAAACACAGTCAATATGGCACAATTTTGATTAGATATATCTGAAAAATTAGTTAATAAACCTCAATGTTATGCAATTCCTCATGTAGTTCAATTTCTTTCCAAAACGAGTCAACGTCACTAAAGTATTTCCGATGTCCCTATAATTCACATGAAATTATTATCGTATAAGTAAGCAAGACTAGAGGTTTGGCTAGAGGCAGCACAACGGGCAAGCAGACCATAAGGTAGACAGCAAGCAGGTGTCCACCGTAGTTGTGAGGGTTTCCTTCTCCACAACGGGCATTCAGACCGTAAGATAGACAGCATGCAGGTATCCACCGTAGCTGTGGAAGCCTCCCTCTGCCAGCAAGCCATGCAGAAAACGATGATAAAAAAAAAACCTTGCCTTAAAACTTTCGTTAAATAGATTAGCACCCTCCATCATATTGTCCGGACCGTTTGTTGTTAGAATATCGAGATCCTTTTTCAGTTTGTCTGATTCTTTACGAAAAGAAAAGGTGAAATCAGATTTTTGTGATCGGAACTTGTAAAAATCCAGAAAACGATAATCTTCGGGATGTGTTTCATCGAAATAAGCACTCCAAGTACGAGACATTATTTATGTCAAGTGATATGGTGCTGCGTCACTTATAAAGTCCGAAATTTTCAAATGCAGACTATCACGTGATTTACTGTAATTTCACGTAATTTGTGTCTAAATCGAGTTTGCCAATACAAATTCAGCCAATTTACCCGTAATTCCATTTTTGTATAAATCCATATAACGTCATGCCTTTCTTGCAAATTTCCCTTATCGTAATTATATATATATACTACTAGTATGATATGTAAAATTAGTTTAATTAATTTGTACTTTTATATTAAACTAATACAATATAACATAATGTTCAATTTTGCAAACTATAAATTATACTGTAATTTGTCCGGAGCGAAGCGTAGGACATTATACTTTTAGGAATAGTGAAAAATTTAATCACGTGAGTATTTCCGTTTGTCCCGCCGCGTGTACGATAAGATCAGTAAATAAAAAAAAATAAAAAAAATAAACAAAAACAACTAATTTACTATAAAAAAATAATAATAATTATAAAAAATTTTTTATATATTTAATTAATTAATTTGTTTAAATTTCGCTCCGGACTTAAAATGGTTTCCATTTCCTAGTGTTTAAATAAATTATACTGTATCAGTTTTCTATCTATTCTACAGTAAAATCTTATTAATTTTTATTTAATAAATTATAGGTTAATTATATAGTATATATGTAAAAAAAAAATAGTAATAATAATGATATACATATTAAAAATTGAAATTGTAAATTATCAAAGCAAATTTTAAATAACTATTTTAGTAATCATTACTAAAGTTAGTAATGATTAAACCTTAAAGAAATTCTTAGCCAAAAGTTAAATATTTGGTTTTTATTTTTGCATTACTTATATTAATAGTAGTGAGAGTATTTAGTATAAATAGTTAAAGATAATACTTACTTATAGTATTGGATAGGTTAAATTTATAATTAATAATTTCCTTTTAAATAATAATATCTTCTTTATAAAAATAATTTTCTTTTATAAAATAAATCTTATATTCTAGAGGTTAGAACTTATTATCAAAATTATAAATTATTAAGCAAGTTTCTAAATTCAGCTAAAATCTTTTAAAAAAATATTATATAAAATTTTAATCAATATAATTCACTTATGTAATTAGTTATCATGATTAAACTATATAGAATATAAAATTGTAAAATAAAAATTTAGAGTTTTTTATATTTTTTTTTTCAAAACTTATTAATACAAAATCTTAAAATTTCTAAAAAAAATTTTATAAAAATTAGGTTATACTATAAAATTATTTATACAAAATTCTTAATATAACAAATATATAAAATATTAAAAATAATTAAATTATTACTATCTGATAAAGTTGTTAATCTTTTAAGAATTATAAATAAGATGATTAATTATATAGAAAAAACTTCAATTTTTACTTTAATAACAGATTTATATATATTTTATTTTAAAAATCATACTAAATAAAATGAAAAATTATATATATAATGATCATGTATAATTTTACTAAATTACAACAATTAGATAAGATATTCAAGTGATAAATTTTTTTAAAGTTTACATAATATTTTAATATAATTTTAATGTAATTTATAATTATACAATAGTATATATTCAATATGAATAACTTAATTGACTTAATTGTATAATAATATGTTTATTGATAGAAAAATAAGAAAATAAGAAGAATTATAATAAAAGATTAAAAATAAAAGAAAATTAAAAGTAAATCAAATGCAAGAGTTGGGTTAATTGTCACTAAAAGTGAATTACTACTAAGTATATAACTAAAAAAATATTAAAAGTTAAAACTAAATTTTTGACTGATTATTTTATTATTCTCTATTTATTACATAGATAGATATACAGTCATACTTCGATGTAATGAAGCTGCTGATCCAGCCAATTAGAACTTTGTTATAAGAATCTTTGTTAACATTATAACGAATTATGCGGTATGTATAACGAATAATTCATTATAGCGTTAACGAATTATTTGTTATAGTAGATGATTACTGATTTCATTACACAAATATAATTTTACTATTTCCAG